ATACAATCGATGTCATATTTTGTTGATTGCAGTCTTCCCAACACACGGGACCAACACCTTAAAAAACGATTCAAGGATTAAATTGTGCAATGTATCCATTTTAGTATAAGATTGTTTTCTTACACTATGTTTCTGTATTCAAAAATATTCAAGATCCTCTAAGTACAAAAGAGCTTTTTTTAATCTAATTTACCGTTGAAACCATCATTACATGGTTTATAACATAATAATCCATCCTGATCATTTTCATTTTCTGGACATGCATGTAAAGGTCTTCCGGCTCCTCTACTATACGATCTTCGCCAACAATATGGTTCATAATTTCGAAAAAATTCTCTTAATATTCTTTTAACTTTCAATGATACTGGAGTATTTGGTATAATTATAGAGTCTTCAGTTGTTGAATTGGTCGCATTTTCAGAAGTGGAAACAAGTATCGTTGGCTCTTCATATGATTTAAGTGAAATGGATGATATAACACTTGATGTTTCATTTTCTTTGATTATCTCTGAAGTACTTAAAGAAATAATAATAATTAAATAAGGACGGTATAATGTTTACAGAATTACACATCTATTAGATAAGTTCTTTAAAAGTTTTATTCACTTACAAGTTCTTCCATTTTAATTCAGTTTCTTCTATAAGGCTAATCTCAGTTGCATTTGAAATCATCATTATCAATGTAATGAATAATAGCAACAAGAATAGTGATTGGATCTTATTTATAATCATTTCTAAGTTGACAAAAAAAGATTTATTATTTCTTCTAATATATGGACAAATGTACTGTTTTACAAAATATCTATCTTCGATGTTTTTATTTTTTTTTTCTTATATACAATACAAATTGATAAAAAAAAGAGAGAAAAAAACTCTACCTGCCATTTTATGCCTTATTATTCATATATACTGACGGCATCATATGGCATTTAAGAAGACGTTAAAATATTCACTTAGTCTATCAGATTCTTTTATTTTTATTTCAATTTTTCGTATATGTACGTTCATCAATTACACAACTGTAAGCTTTATGTTTGAACAATGATAACTATTTCCTTATTTTCTTGTCATCAAAAGAACCATAAACCTAAATCTAGAAATTTTCGTAACAAGAAAAACTATGTTACTCTAATTTATCTGTCTGTGACCTTATTCTAAATGTCAGTACTACGGTAGCATATAAGCTAGTAAGAATTATCCTCGAGAAATGCATTAATCTTTAAATGTATGATATTCACATAAGAAATGTAACAGTAGATCTTTTTTTTCTCGAATTATAAACATTCATTCCATCAAGTCATTTCAAGGTCCATCTGGAGTATTGATTATAAGATGAAAGTCACAGCTATTGGAGTTTAATTGCTAAACAAGTAAGCATTTGTTATCATTTACAGACATTTACTATGCTCACAAAGGAAAAAATTTCCCTTTGAAGTAAGATGATATATCTATACTATTTTATATTAACTGTCAGAGTTTCAAGGTTAATAAACAAACAAGTTGTCTGTTGTTGTTTCAACACCAAGTAACAAACATACCAGGTTCTCGTGTAAAAGAAACTATTATCTATTTCAAAATTCTATGGTTCATGACTATTTTCTAAATAACTCCCGAATGTAAGGCGATACGGATCTGTGGTTTCCAGTGTTTTGTAGTAGAGACCTGAGCGCATGTTTTCTGTTCCAAAATGGTTTTGAAAACCTGGATTTCACGTGATGTAACTGACGGATCTTTGAAAAAGTAGGTCGCTGTTCTTTAAAGTCTTCTAGCACTTACTATATTTGAAAGTTGTAAATAACAGCCTAGACTGTCCTGCATCGATTTACACAAGTCCGATCTCTCTACCTGCTGCGGTTCTCGGATGACAGATATTTTGCTAATTCACTGTAATAATAGTATGAAGTTATTAAAATTAATTACACAACATCTAATTTACGGCGGAGATTATTCTTTACAGAAAATTCTATGAAATAACATCAGAAGCGATAACGCTGTGTGAAACAACATATTATCACATATTAATAAATATTGATTTAATTGATGATCATCTTGTTACACATGTAAAATATACTAATAGAATTATTTAAAAGATCTGCAATTAAAATTAGATGATTATTTTAAAATATTAAAAATTTTCACATATATTTTGTTCAAAAGATGATTATTTAACAAGTCTCATGCCATTATTTAATAATACAAAATAACAACATATACAAACTACAAATGATAATTATCATTTAAATAGTTCTCTTGATCCATTATTACGTTGTAAACAAACTAATAAAGATCGAATTATGTTAGCTATTAATGAATTAAAATAATCATTAGACAAAGCAGGTAAATTAATTGTTTGTTCACATCATATTATACAACGTATACGAACAACATTATTAAAAACGGACACATTTCATATAGATGAAGAAAATGGAATCATAAAGTAAAATAATTTGTATAAGACCGCAACAAAATACATATTAAGAATTTTAACTAAATTCAATAATTTTATTTGTCGATTTCGAGCTTTCGGTACTGACTCGTACCATTGTCAAGAAACAAATGACAA